GAATTTTTCATTGATGACCTTCATAATTCTAGGATTCACATTTAGGTCCTTAATCCATGTTGAGTTGGTTTTTGTACAAGACGTGAAGTGAAGGTCTTGTTTCAGACTTTTGCATATCATTTTCCAGTTCTGCCAGCACCATCTGTTGAAGAGACTATCCTCTTACCATGGGATGGCATAAGTTTTAAAGGTTATCTGAAGACAATAGTTTCAGGGATTCCTTCACCCTCTGTGGCTCCAGAAAGTCTAGAGTCCATAAGAATTTAAAATTCATTTTCCCTCTTTTGTTCAGGATTCTTCTAATGAATATTTGGTCAAAGTGTCCAATAATGGTTGCTAAGCTCCATCTAGTTATGGTTTCATAACAAAGGAGACAGTTGTTTATGATGCAATTATCCATACATTCCATATCCTCCTTCAATTTCTCATTTTCCATATTCCTCTGTTGATCCTTGTGAACACAGACCAATTTTTGTACCATGGATAGCTTGCTTGCAAGCTTTTGAGACTGGACACAACATTATGAACTAAAAGGTAGAACAGAACTACTAAACGTGATATTAGGCGAATTAACCAGGAAGCCCAGGAAACCATGCCCCAAAACCTCTAAACCAAGGAATAAACCTGTGAGGTTTTTAGTTATATAGCTTCAGCAGATACTTTTTTTGGACATTGTTGTAAATCCATATAAATCATATATATCACATTTCTTCAGAGAAGACATAAAATAGCTGTAAACAAGAGTAATAGCTTCATCTGTATTGTTAATATCAATGCTAACCATAGAAAGAATGATTGTACTGATATGTATATTTAGAATATATACAGAAAAGATGAGAAATGGATGTAAAGTGTCCAAGTATGAGTATAAAGGTACTTACTGTCTCTCCATGCTGGCTATTTCCTGATTATCTTCTTTAACCTATAAAAGCATAAAAATAAGACAGTATTTAAACAATAACTCATTGTTAGACTATAAGCATGGATTGAATTGTGTCCACCCAAAATATGTGTCAGCTTGGCTTGGTTATTATATAACTGGTCTGGAAGTTATATGATTCCCCATGATGACATCTGATGTGATAAACCAATAAAAGATTAAAGGTAGGCTGTAATATCCTTTATCCCATCACAACCCTGATTTAGTGTAAGGAGAGTTTGCCTGGGTGTGGCCTAGAACACCTTTTACTTACAAGAAATAAAAGTAGAGAGAAGTGAGCAGAGAAAGAGGGACCCACCACCACCCAGAAAGAAGAGCAGGGAGTGCAGTGTGTCACTTTAGGACCTGGAGTGCCTGCATTGAGAAGCTCCTAGATCCAGGGAAAGACTGACGATAAGATCCATGGAGATCTCTAAGGAATGCTGGGCTACAGATGCTGAAAGGAGACAAAGACCTTCATCTAGAGCCAGTGCTCTGAATTCAGAATTCTAGCACTCACTCATCTCTGCCAAGAAATTTGGAAGACAACTATCTGGCCAACTGATTAGAAGAGATTCTTATTTGTGCCCATTCCAAAGAGAGGTGACCCAACGGGATGCAGAAATCATTGGACAATATCTCTGACATCCCATGCCAGTAAAGTTTTATTAAAGGTAATAGAGAAATGTCTACAAGCATACGTTGACAAAGAACTTCAAGAGGTTCAAGCTGGATTCAGAAGAAGCCAAGGAACAAGGGATATCATTGCTGATGTCCAATGGATCTTGGCTGAAATCAGGGAATATCAGAAAGATATTTACCTGTGCTTTATTGACTACACAAAGGCTTTTGATTGTGTGGATCATGACAAGCTATGGACAACATTGCAAAGTATGAGTATTCTAAAATATTTAATTTTGCTCATGAGGCATCTGTACATGGACCAAGAGGCAGTTGTTCGAACAGAACATGGGAACACTGAATGGTTTAAAGTTAAGACAGGTGTGCGAAAATAAAAAGAAAGGTGTGCGACATTCTTATATGTTTTCACCATACTTATTCAACCTGTATGCTGAGCAAGTAATCCGAGAAGCTGGTTTATATGAAGAAAAA